AAATACAAACAAGCACACTACTTTTTCACATTCTGCCAAATGCATGAATGTAAATGTACCACATTTACCAACATGTGCAGTATAGAGCAAGCATGCTGCGCTGCGAACAGTATCCCAATGCATCCCACAATGCAATCATGTCCAGTGTGACGACTGAACCAAAGGTGACATCTCTTTCACCTCATTATTTCATCTGGCCGCCAAAAGTTAAGATGTATAAAAATGCATAATAATGATGTAATATGACAACAATGTTTCATACTACTGCCTGCTTTCTGTTCGATGTACTATTTGATAAATAGTATGCAGTGCAGTGCAGTATGCTAGTACTGTGATCTCTTCTATTCATCTCCCATTTTATATTTCACAGCGACAGGAAACTGCTCTGAAATCATCTTCTCATTAGTGTCACTGATACGGCAACGACTGAAAACAATATTCTGGCAGACGAAACAATAGTGCCACACCAGGACTCCAAATAAAACAGCTGTTTTAAAGTGGACACACTCAAACTCTCACTTCCTTCTGTTTCTCACTGTCTTCCTCCTAACACACACACACACACACACACAGTGGCAGTGCTGTACATCTAAATAGCCCGAGTGACTAATTCCTGTGCATTTGAGCATTTCTGCGCTGTCTATTCTGGGCTGTTAGGATGGAGTGTGTGAATCATAGTCGTTGTGGTAATTGCTCCTCTTTGTCTTCCCCCACCCTGCTCTGTTCTGATTGGTTAATGAGGCTCGTTAAAAGCCCCAGCTTGTTCATTCAGTAGAAGAGACAGCTGAGCTCAGAGGGGGACGTCAGATGGCCTTTTCTGTCTTAAACAGCTCCAAATTTAATCAGCCAATAGCATTTAGGAAAAAATATCACTTCATACATTAAGTTTGTTTACTGCATCATTACGTGTTTAAACCACTAATGGCCCGAGGAAGCTTTCCTTCATACAGCAGCGGGGCACATTATTGTTGCCAAAGGTCAAAATGTGTGATATGCTGCTAAAAATATTATAATGAATTAATGTGTGTGTGCTTTATGCACCCGACGGAAGGAGCCTGTTTTTTTTTTTTTTCTCATCCTGCTGAAAATCTCTTGGATGTTTTTCAACCCTCGGGTGCCGAAAACTTGCATCTGATTGTTCTGGTAACTGTTCAAAGCACATGAATATTTAATGGGGCAAGCATTGACAAGTTTATGATTGGTTGTCACCGTCTTCAGTAGAAACTGCAACATCACTTATCAAATTGAGGAAATGAGAGTCTGTGGAAGCACAATAAAATCAAAACATCAACTGAAGAAAAGCTGTTGCAACTCACACAATGTCTGACAACTTTTATCTCAGTTCCAAATTTGCCATCAGAAGTTTATGCTGCGTATATGATGCTAAAGTGTTTGTTTTTCCAGGACTCCATTAATTGACGTGGTTTTAAACTGACCTTAACATGACGATAATGGAGAATGTGGATGTAAAATAATATATGTTAACCCAGGGTTAAGTGTTAGAAATGACATCAGCATTGGAACACTGATTCTTTTTTTCTTTTTTTTTTTTTTTTTTTTACATTTTCATTTCAATATACTTTGTAATAAGCACAAAATGTAGTGTTGGTTTTGCATAAAATGGTTTCGAAGTATTATGTGCACATCCAAAAACTTTAGGCAGTTGCACGATCAGATAAAGCACTCCACTAAAGAATAAACTATTTTATTTATAAAATCATTATATGACAAAATTTTCAACTAAAAACTGAAAACCTTTTATACATTTTGGCCGTTTATTTACACGACAACGGCTTTTTGTGGGCCTGAAAACTTTTTAAAAAGGGTTTCAAAGTGCACATTTTTTAAATAAATACTGTTATTGTCTGCGTGTACACTAAAAATACACACATTTGTGAAAGCGGTGACGTCGTGCACATGCGTATTAAGTAGTGGTGTAACAGTACACTGAAGTCCCGGTTCAATACGGGTTCGTTACAAAAAGAAAAAGCGACAAATCCCCAATGCTATGTTTCTTTTTATTTATTTTGAGCAGACAGTAGTGCAAATTACAGTTTGTTCCTCCTACACAACCTCCTTTAGTGTATTATAAGCACTACGCAATAAACAGAATGAACTCTTGCATATAGGTTATTTTAAATAGTTTTAGGGCTGATAAATATTCAAAGGTATTATTATATCAAAAAGCTACAAAATAAATGGAAAAATACAACTTTTTTCTTTGCGCGTGAGTTCATTAACATGCGGTTACTATAGCGGATGCACAAAGTTCAATATTACACTTTTTCAAGAAATCACGGTAAGATGTGCAAGAAACTCATTATAACAGCGGAAACAACTTAAAATACTCCGTCATTTACGGTCATACAGATAAAAGTAAGACATTATTCATCTATTTTATTTGTGTAGACTCACAATAAAAAACATTGTGCTTTTGTGAAATAAAGAATACAATCATGATGCCACTTTCTGGCATCCCGGTTTCCTTTCATGAAATTTGTGGAGCGCGTCACAAAAATTAATGGAAACGAAGCGTTTAGGCTCTTGCGTCCCATCTGAACTCTTATGTTTTTGGTTAGTGCGTAGATCATCTCTTCTTCTTCTGCTCTTTTTCCTGTTGTTGCAGTTAGCAAACAATGTTGCATTACCGCATGCGCCCTCTTCTGGATTGGAGTGTGGATCGCCTGTGTCTGACTGTATTCATGGTCTGACTGTATGTGACGGTTCAGGACGAATACACGTACCATTACACCCCTAATATTAATGGCGCGTTCACGTGCTATGGTAATTATGGTAAATACCAAAAGCCGACGTGGAAAATGCACATGAACACCCCCTCGTGGTATTTTCCACTGGGCAGCTCCTAGAATATTTTGATGCACGAGTTGCCGAGATGAGATAACCTTTGACCTTTTCAAAATGGCGGAGAGCAACGCGAGAGTCGTGAATGGTAAAAATATGTACTATTCATGATCTAGAAAATATACAGCATATTATTTACCGTTTGAGTTTTGATAAATCATTTTCTTGCTGTAGCAGATGACTTAAGCAATCTAAAATAGTTTTAGCTAAATAACAGGTCTGGATCTCCATCTTTTTACCACATTACGACAACAAAAGCACTTAAACGCAACACACTGGTAAATAGTTCACAAGTGGAAAATATCATATTTTCCATAGCACGTGAACGCACCATGAGTGTTCAGTCTATAGGCGCGTAGTGTTTCCTTACAAAGTGACATTGCCACCTACTGGCCTGGCAGCATAATACAGTGTTTTTAGTCGGGTTTTTTGCGGATTGTTTTGACAACGTTGTCGCCTGTACGCAAAAAACACAAAGGAAAAATGCTTCCGTATTTAAAGGGGTCATATAATGGTACATGCACTTTTTCAAGTTGATTGTACTGAAATGTGTGTTGGCAGTGCCTGTACACAACCATCATATAATGATAAAAATCCATCCAGTGGTTTTGTTTTAATCTTATATGTTTTCCCCTGCCTCAAATCGAGCCGTTCGACCGTGTGACGTCACACGGTCGGACGCCACTCCCGCGATTGTTGATTGATAGGCGCGTTTCAACACAGACCCGCCCTCGCTCGTGAGAGCTGTCAATCATAGTCTGCGCGGACCGGCGCGGTCATTGTTGATATGCTGGAGCACTGTCTATGAGCAGAATGGCGTCTAAGCGATTGTGGTGTTCTGTTCTTGCGTGTAATAACGAACACAGTCATTTTAATGTTCCTAAATCCGAACCGCTGAAGACGCAGTGGCTGAGTTTGTTTTCGAAGGGAATATTCCCCACGAGCAACGTCAATCAATGCTTTCATGTTTGCGCGAATCATTTCTCAGCAGACTGCTTTATAAACGAGGGTCAGTATAAAGCTGGATTTGCTAAGCAGCTGCTCCTGAATAAAGAATCGGTACCAGATATTCGTGTTCCTGCTGAACCTCTAGAACAACTGAAGTGAGTGTAACGTTTTATTAAACTTTATATTAATATTTATATCTTTGCAAATCGCTTCACGATGAATGAGTCTAAGGTTTACACTCAGGGTACATTACTGCATGTTTTCTATGTACGACGTTCTCCATATAATTCATAATCCCACGTTTATAATGAACAACACGTTATGGTATTGTGTTACAAACGTGTACGCACAGAACAGAGGGGCGGGGTGAGCAAAGCTCATGATCATTTAAAGTCACATGCACTGAAACGGCGTGCTGAAAACAGAGCTGTTTTTGACCAGGTAAAATAAGTGTTTTCTTACAATACTAATGAGAATTTTTAATTAAAGTATATTACAAACTTTTAATTTAGACCCTAAAGAATGATATTAGCTTGTACAAAAATGGCATTATATGACCCCTTTAATACATCGTTGTCGTGTAAACGTACCCTTAAAAAATTAAATGTTGAAGCAAAGAGCTGAAACTTTTATTCACAGTGAGAAGTGAAACGAGTAATCCTCACTGACATGTCCTTTGTTTGTTTTGCTGATAAATCAGTTATAAAATCAGAAGTGTGTTTCAAAGGTCATGCATTTTCACTTCACTAAAGATCATCCTCTTAGTCTTTGCATGTTTTTAATTCGAAGATACTTTGGAGACATTTGTTGAAAACATTTAAACTCAACACGAAAGTAGTGTCTATTGTGATTACACACTTCTGTAGTGTGATTATTTCAGACTGAAATAGGGTTGTTGGTTTTGTGAGTAAATTGTTGTGATTATGTCAGTGTCACTGTTTAATGTGCATGACCATATAAATGTGTTTGTCTCTTCATGTGATGAATAGGTTTATATGTGTGTGCGTGTGTTTTTATACTTATGTGATTGAGTTAATGTGTGTTTGTCATGACAGTTAATTATTATGTGTGTGATATAATCAAATGCGTCCCGTTGTATGATGAATGGGTTTCTGTGGAAGTGATGTGTGTGCACGCGCGCGCGCGCGCTTACTGGAATGTCACATGACTCGTGTCATATGACCATTGCTGTATAAGTTCAGTAGCACGCGGCTGGTCAACAACAGAGAGTTTCAGACTTGCAGATGCGCGGAAGGACGAGAGGGACACACACCTGTTTCCTTGCGTCCGTTCATTGTTAAACACCCCGCGCGCTGTATCGGTAAAGCACTTATACCGTTATATCTGCTGTCGGGCCGTCATAAGGATGCGCGCGCTCTCCGTCATTGTTTTGTTCGTGTTTATCGGCGGGTCCGCGGCCGATACTCCTGCAAACTGCACCTATGAGGACCTGCTGGGCACCTGGATCTTCAGTGTGTCTGATGTGGGTCAGGATCGGACCATCGACTGCTCCAGCACAGGTCAGACCAGGCAACCATCAGTGCGCTTTTCTCTTCAACAAGGAAGATCAAGTTTACTTTCGGTTTCATGTTGAGGGTTTCCCCTGAAAAGTCTGTGTATCTTTGCCCTATTGTTTTGTACACGCTACTATACAACAACACAACTCTGCTACTGTTTTGGTACCATGGTACAGTGATTAGATCAGAATGGTAATTACTTTAGCCTCATAATTTGACATGTACCATGCTACTAGTACTGAATCTTTACCATGATTAGACCTTGACTAGACCTTATTCACAGCAGCGCCATCTTTGATTTTTAACGGGAATGAAAGCGAGGCTGTAAGTAAAGTTAGCTTAAAGTTTGACATTCGTTAGACATTCGGTTTCATTCATCGGGTTGCAGCCCAAAACCAACTCAGATATACATGAACATATACCCTTTTCATAGCACAAGGCTTAATTTCAAGAAATAAAATGTATATTAGCCCTATTAAACAATTTAAATGTATTATATTGTTATATCAAGCTAAGCCCTTTTATTGCACAGGGCTGTTTTTGGAATTAGCATGTTATGTTTTATAATAATTTTGGAATTTTAAATGTGTGAGAAACCGTAAATCCATGAAACTACAACACCGTTTGACGTAGCCTATCAAACTCGAATATTATTCCCTCTATTGCACAATTGTTCAGATTATTAATCTGGTATTTTCATATAATTGAACCCATTTAAATCCATTAAACTACAACACTGTTAGACCTAAAGGTATCAAACCAACTTTAAATTACTCATCATGTTATTATCTACATATGTTCTCCACATTCAATGCTGTAAAATAAACTTGGTTGGCTGTTAAACAGGGAAGCCGGTGACAACAGTGACTGTGGACCTGCAGAAGTTGTCTCTAGCTGTGGATGATCTGGGACACACTGGCTTCTTCACGCTCATCTATAACCAGGGGTTTGAAGTGGTGATCAAGGACTACAAATGGTTCGGGTTTTTCAAGGTAAGCGTGATGAGACACTTTTAGTCTCGGATGACACCACATGACTGATCAGATGACGGGTTTCACAACAGAAGGGAAATTCTGACATCAGCTCTTTTGTGTTTCTGTGGTCTGCACTGCTGTGTTTAGCTCAATAAATGTGCTAGGATTTTACAAGTGCTATCTTTTTTTAGTGACTAGATCTGGTTGGTTTAGTATTATGACTATTATAGTTTAGTAATATTTTGAATTTGATATTTTCAGAGTTTAATTTCTAATTAGTTTAGTTTTTTTTTGCATTTTAACTATACACATGAACATACAATTCCATGCAACAGAAAACAAGAACAAAAAAAAGAAACCGCCTCTTAGTATTTTACATTGATAGTCTATACCTCGTCTTATATTAACACCTTTCCAAGTCCACCACATTTTAAGAACGATCATATTTGTCCCTTAAAATATAAGTCATCTTTTCCATTGATATTTGTTACCATTTCTTTTAGCCAATGTCTTATACTTGGTGCACAATACTTTTACAATTTAAAGAAATAAGCCGTTTTGCTTGAATGCGTACATTTATAAATATATACTCTTTCTTTTTTAACTAGATCTCCTTAGGAAGTGTAGTTTAAGTTTTACTGATTTGTGCTTTGTCTTTTTATTTTAATTATTATTCGTTTTTTAAAATCTTTTAGCTTTTTTCTCTAATTTAGTTTGTCTTTTTATTCCACTTATTTCAGTTGTTGTACTCATTCATGTTTATTCTGTAAGTAGTATTAAAGAGGAAGGGATGATCACGTTCATTCTTGGCTTATACTGCGATCAGTCACGCCACATCAAAGAGCGTCAATGGCATTTATTGATTGAATTAGATGATACAATGGACATAATTTGACATATGAGACTCTGCTTCTTAAGTAACAAAACATGGAGCTTATTGCGATCATTGGTGGTTCATGGTTGTGTACACATGCGTACCGAAAATTCATAGTACAAATACATATATCGTTACACCCTAGTGTCCACGAATTAAGAATTCGATCCCACTATTTATTAATTTGTTCCCTTGTTTTAGTAAATCGTTGCCACGTTTACAACTATTACAACATGGCCATTATGTAGTAAATCGAGGGAACAAATGATTATATTGTGTGCACGATTTACTTAAAACAAGGGAACAAATTAGTAAAACATGCTGACGTATTGGAACAAATTGTTAATATGCATTTATTTTTTCTCGCATGTCATGTGCGAGGCTCTGTATATTTCTGTAGTTTTTGATAGTTTCAGTCAACAATAACACGGAGTTCAGACGATATGGACTCAACAGAACGGACCGTTGCCTTCACATAGAAATTTACAAACAATTATGACACGTTTTTTAAAATGTAGTTTTGCACAACCCTAGTATCGTGATGCTTGGGATTTACATAAAATGTTTGTCATTTTAAAAAACGTCGAGTCCTAATAATAAATGTCTGAAAGTGGATTAAATACTGTGCTTTAAAAGTAACAGTGAGTATTTGTGTTTGGTCACACTTTAGTTAAGGGTCCAATTCTCACTATTAACTGACATTTTGCCTCAAACTCCTAATTACTGTTTATTAATAGTTGGAAAGATTAAGTTTAGGTAGGATAAAGGCTGTAGAATATGGTCATGAATTAAGAAGTACTAATAAACCACCAATATCCTATAAATATGCAAGAACTGATAAGAATGTAAATGTGTAACTTGAAATGCAATGTAAGTCGCTTTGGATTTAAAAAAAAAAGCATCTACTAAATGTAATATACATACTAATAAGCAACTAATAGTGAGAATTGGACCCTAAATTAAAGTGTTACCTTATTTATTTTAATTTTTTCTCTCTCTGTGTGTCTAGTATACCCAGCAGGGTTCAGAGGTGACCAGTTACTGCGATCAGACGCTGCCCGGTTGGGTTCATGATGTTTTGGGGAATAACTGGGCCTGTTTCACTGGGAAGAAGGTGCAGCCCATCCCCCCCCGAATCGACCGCAATCACATGCTTGGATTCGATCACCAACTGTGAGTGTTTGATTGTGTCAGCTGTGCTCGTGATTGTCTCTTATCTCGCTGTCTATCTTGATGAGATCTCATGTGATTTCATCTCCCCTGCACTGCATGAATGAATGATTGATGTTTATTGGTAACAAACATCTTGTATGATCTCTAGGCTCATGAAGTTGCCTTACACAAACAACATGGCGTTTGTGGATCAGATAAACTCCGTCCAGAAGTCCTGGAAAGCGACGACGTACAGTCTCCATGAGACCTTCACTATACAGGACATGCTGAGAAGATCAGGAGGACGTGCCTCCAAGATCCCACGGTACACACACACACACACACACACTTTCATTGGCGCAGTCAGGCTTCTGTGTGTAAATTAATAATGGATGCCTTTAAAACTGATTTCCAGCTCAAAATATCTGGTGCAATTTATTTAGAAGTAATGATTTCTCGATTTTTATCTATTCTCATTTTGATCAACCGATGTTGTTAATGTTTAACCAATGTTGTTAAATCTCAGTAGTCTTAGTCCATGCTGATTTCAGTTAATGCTTGAACAAAACTTCACTAAACTGACTGTACAAAATATATCTCCAAATGAATCGATTGGTTACAGAATAGAAGCTTGTTTCCGCCACGGAATAAAACAATTTAAAAGGTAATTGCGACTTTTTATCTCGCAATTCCGACTTTTTTTTATTTCTTGTGAGGTATAAACTCGTAATTGCAAGTTAAAGTCCAATTTTGAGGAAATAAAGACTGACTTTTTTCTAAGAATTGTGAGTTTTATATCGCGTAATTCTGAGAAATGAAGTCAGAATTGCGAGATGCAAACTATAATTTTTTTTAATTTTTTTTATTCTGTGGCGGAAACGAGCTTCCATATTACAGAATAATAATAGCAGCCCAATTTTATTAAGAAGATAAATGGTCAATTAATGATTTCTCTCTCTCAAAACTTGCAATTCTATACAAGTAGGAAAAATAGAATAGACAATATATTGGCCAGTTCTATTCTCCATTTAAAGCCTATGTCAGCTCTAGAGTTGTTGATTTGAAGTACTATAAATTAATGAATGCTATGACATCTTTTGAAATGGAATGGTGTTTTTTTTTTTTTTTTTTTGGTGTTTACTTTGTTTGTTTTTTTGGAATTTGTCAAATTGATTGTATAGAATAAAGTTGTTTTTTAAATATAAAAATCTCTCTCTCTCTCAGACGTGTCAGGCCTGTGACTGTTGCTGCAGACCGTAAGATGGCAGCTGGTCTTCCAGAACAATGGGACTGGAGAAACGTGAACGGGCTCAGTTATGTCAGCCCTGTCCGCAACCAAGGTGTGTGTGTGTGTGTGAGAGGAAATACTGCAACCAAAACAGTTGTTCAGCTCTGAGCAAACACTGACTGAAGCATGTCATTTTATATTATAAACGTCTTCAATGCAGTGCTTTACACCTACAGTTGAGTCGGTCCTGGGATAAACATCAATATGCTACTATTGATTGTGTTCAATCTGAAATCCTGGGAGTGTGTGTTATTGACAGTGATGAAGCTGTTCTTACTGGAACCGCCTGACAAATGATCCTAGAAACACTACCAGGAAATTACAAGCTCTTTCTCTAATCTGTGTTTGGCTGTTTCTCATGTATTTCCCCAGCAAATGTTTATTTATTTAATGTTTAATATTTTATTTTAAAATTTAAGTGTATAAAAATGATTGAATTTAAGTTTCTGGAGAAGCCACCATTTCTTTTTGCCCTCATAAAAAGTGCAGGGATGTTTTTGAATGACTATGATTTGTCTAATTTCAGTATTACTATTATAGTTCATAATACTTTGAATTAGCTTGTATATTTGTTTTCTTTTTTTATTTTAGTCTGTCATTTCTGCTTTTTGTCTTTTTTGTGTTTGTTCAACTTTTGGATACTAGGATGTAACGTGTGTGTGTGTATATATATATATATATATATATATATATAATGTATGTATATATTACACACACACACACACACACACAAACCACTGATCCCATTTTCTTCTGGTACATGCAGTAACTACACCCATTTTTTTTTTATTTTTTTTTTACTACACATATCTCCGTTGAGAATTAGCCATCTATTCTAAGGAGGAAGCATTTTTGGCAAGAAACATTTCGCTAATTTTATTTTAGGCTAGTAGATGTTTTACCAGCTTTTAAAAGTGTAATATTTTGTACTGAAGTTTTGCGGTCCTTTGAGCAAGTTGGTTGGGTCACTAATTTGTGTATTTAAAGCCGTGACTTTTTCGTAAGATATCTGACCATTTTTGACCCTGGAAAGGTCTGTTTTGGATTTGTATCTTTCCACTTGCTCTCGGGTTTACAGTCTCACCTTCCCTAGTCCGTCTTGTACGGTCGAAGAGAAACACATATTTCTCTCTGAAATAAGTGCGAGTGGATGATCGGCTCTTCAGGCGCTGGTTGCCGTGTCTGGAGTGGCTCTTTCCTTTCAGAGTCCGATAGTTTCTGCCTTTTGTGAAGAGCTCCTTCAGATGCTCGGGATACATTCGAGAAGGAAGGAGAGCGGGTTAAGGATGTTTCTGTAGGATGAGGAAATGAGGTTGTGAATGGTCCTTTTTCACCTGTAAATGATTTCTTCTTTCTTTCTCAAGCTCAATGCGGCAGCTGTTACTCTTTTGCCACTATGGGAATGCTTGAAGCACGAGTCCGAATCCAGACGAACAACACCCAGCAGCCAGTGTTCAGTCCTCAGCAAGTGGTGTCCTGCTCCCAGTATTCTCAAGGTAAAAGCATGCGCTGATGCCCTGAGGCAAATGTTTAATATGACCCGTATCTGTGCCGAACTTCAGAGTCTGCGTATTTGCAGTTATAAAACTGTGACTGTTTGCTTTTCCAACACCCTCAGGGTTATGGTTACACAATCCGATTGAGATCAGAATGGATTCATTGCATAAATGTTTGACTTGGTCCCCCCCCTCCTCCTCCTGTAGGTTTTGTAAGAAAAGAAGAAAAATCAGTAACTCTTTATTTTACAGTGCCTTTGTTAAATGTACTTACTATAGTAACAACAGTAATTTATGCATTATTACATGCAACTACCCCTTATCCTAAACTATTAAGTACATTTACTAGTAAGTACATGTTGTTTATTGATATTCCTCCACACTTAACTGCATAATTACACTGGTTACTTTATTTTAAGGTGTTTTAGTTACAATTTCTTTAGGGATATAGACATGTATGCTTTTATATATTGCAAAGCTTTAATGAAAATAAAACATTGTTCAGTTGTGTAAAGTTTCAGAATAAGCACTTTTTCCATTTAACTACATTAAAATTGGGAGAGGAATGAACAAACTATGTTAAAAAAGGATGTTTGTTTGTTTTTAGATTACTTTTTTTTTTATGTGAATGCTGGTTTTTTTTAAATAATGGATATCATCATTATTATTAATAGCAATTCTGTTATTTGTTATACCATACACATTATTGTATAATTTGCAATCGTCATAATCATATTGTCACTACAAATATATAACATTTGAATGTGTTTTTTTCATAATTGTGCAATTAAATGGATGTTCTGCCGTTCATGTTTTGGATTTGTAAGGGTTTTGTCTTCTGTACAGGTTGTGATGGAGGTTTTCCATACCTGATTGGTAAATACATCCAGGACTTCGGGATTGTGGAGGAGAGCTGTTTCCCGTACACCGGAGATGATTCTCCCTGCAAAGTCCCTGAGAAATGCACCCGTTACTATGCCTCCGACTATCACTACGTGGGTGGTTTTTACGGGGGATGCAGCGAGGAGGCCATGATGCTGGAGCTGGTCAAGAACGGACCCCTAGGAGTGGCACTGGAGGTGTACTCAGATTTCATGAACTATAAAGAGGGCATCTACCATCACACCTTCCTCCGCGACTCCAACAATCCCTTTGAGCTGACCAATCATGCCGTGTTGTTGGTGGGGTATGGGAAGTGCCATAAGACCGGGGAGAAATACTGGATCGTGAAGAACAGCTGGGGATCCAACTGGGGCGAGAACGGGTTTTTCAAGATCCGCCGTGGAACGGATGAGTGTGCCATTGAGAGCATTGCTGTAGCTACTACGCCAATCTCCAAACTTTAAGTGCGTGTAGATGAATTGGCCAGTTGTAACGAGCACAGTCAAAGTCATGTTTCTGGGCATTTTTATAATCGCAATTCTGCAGCCTAAACAAAGGGAAAACAGCAACAAAGTTGTAAACTTGTAATTTCTTTCTTGAAAACAGGTTTCTTTTTCTCCATGACCTCCACTAGACGGGTTAGGTGATGAAAGAAGCAATGTAGAATAGTAACTTCACTGTCTTGTAATTCATCTTTCTCTTTCAGATTCCTTTTAATAGCAAACGGTGTGAAATTACAAGACCCGATAGACTTGATTCGGTCTCATTTCTCAAACATATTAAACCAACCTCAGCCTGCTTCAAAGTGGGTTTTTTAAAAAAAAATTTTTAGCTTCGAGGTTCTCCTCTTTGGTCTGGCTCCATGTGACCGTTGACGTCGGATCTGTCTCAGAGCGTTGACTTTTCCTGTCGCTGGCCTCTGGGGAATTTGTTCATCTGTGCCTTTTCCAGTCCTTTCTCTTGCCAGGCGCCCTTTTACAGAACAATAGTGGAGCCACTCGGTTTCCGTCCCTTCAACTCGAAGCATCTAGTCAAGATGTTCTTTTTGCTCAGATCCACATGAGAATGAATCTTCGAGCTTGAAAACCCCCCAGATGCCATCTTCCTCTTTTCCTCTGAGCCGCCTGCATCCCTGGAAAAACTCTCGCTCTGATTCAGTCTGTCATGTTTTTGTCTTGGGTCACCTGTGTTTCCAATTGTTGCTGTCAGCCGAAAACAACCCTGGGTAACACTTTACTTGAAGGGGTGTGCATAAGACTAACATGACACCTTCATAATCATGACATGACACATGTTATGAATATGAAGGAAGTTGTATGCATGTTTATGACAACTGTCATTAAGTGTCATTCGCTCAATTATGACTTTTTTAATGCAAATATGACATTGTTTGAAATGTCTTTATGACACCTTGACATAAGCAAATACATCATAACCTGTCAGTGTCTTTGTCATGACAACTTCACAATACTAAGACAACACAACCTGTCATATACATGACCTAGCAGATTAATTTTCAAACTTAAGAAACCACTTAGCTTTATTGGTTAACATTACATTAAACTGTCAGGTGGATGGTTTTGACATTGGCTGTCATGAAGCCATTATAACTGTTTAATGACAAATTCAATTTGTACCACTGTAGTTGAGGTCACGAAAAATATTCATGACACAGTTATAATGCCTCATGACAGCCAATGTCAAAACCAACCACATGACAGTTTAATTTAATTTAATGTCAAGTTGTCATGACAAAGACACTGACAGGTAATGATGTTATGGTTTATGTCAAGTTGTCATAACAAAGACATCTTAAACAATGTCATATTTGCATTCAAAATGTCATTATTGAGCGAAAGACACTTAATGACAGTTGTCATAAACATGCATACACCCTACTTCATATTCATGACATATGTCATGGTTATGAAGGTGTCATGTCAGTCTTATGTACACCCCTTCAAGTAAAGTGTTACCCAACCCTGTCTAGAGTCTAGTTATGGCTTTAAATTTTGCTTAATCTAAAGGCAAGACCTACATGCATTTTACTGTTTTGTTGCAACTGACCTGCTTGGAGAAAGAGAGGCCTTGTCCTTTTTTTTGTTTTGGTTTCTTTTAGCGTGGATTTCCTCCAAAACTGTGTGAATGACAGAAATTGGCAATTTAATTTTCTCTTGCTGGATCTGCGCTAGTGGAAGTTGAATGCCTTCAGGTGCTGTCACAAGCCTCAACTGCTTAAAGTGTGTTTTTTAGAAAAGGGATTTTAGATTTTCGTTGATCCATGTGAGCTCTGAATGTCACATTTGCACTCTTCTGCATTCACTTTTGCACCACTGTTTTAATTGGACAAGAGGTCATTTTGTATTCAGAGAATATCAAGTTGACAGTTGTCCTCGGGAAAATCCATATTTCTGGTTTAATGAACAATCACTCGAATAGCAATAGACTAAAGGGATGTGCGTTATATTACGAGTCCTGTCAGGTTATTTGCCAAAAGACAAGCTGCTCAGGACTATTTTAATATTTTGCCTTTGTATCTGTTTCATGATCTTTAATAAAGTTGCTTTTAATGATACGTTTGACTTCAGGTGTACTTGACTTTGTTGCCTTAATGCATGAAATCAGACTTGTATATATGATATGATATCCAATTCAAATTGACTGTTTAGTATTTAAGTGGGTTTTGATCATTTAAGATGTAATGCAATGCAAATGACATTTGCGTCAGAACTATCCGCTTAAGTCTCACGTCATGCATTGCTTTTCCGGGTCTAATCGCTATATAAGATGCCAACAGCAAAGTGTGCTAATAAAAACTTGCGGTGTGCTTTAATACTACCACAAAAACAGGATCCTAACCTTTATCTTCATAACGAAATTTCAGCTTTTTATGTTCAAGATTCTTTTATGAATCATTAGAATATAAGGTTTGTCGAGAGTCACGTGAACAAACAGGAAAACGGGTCTCATCGCATCTGCTTCTCAGAAAGTGTTAACCGCAGTATGAACTGACAGTTTATGGATTTTTTTAGTTTTTTAATCCGCTAACCTAGCTAGTTTTTTATTGTTGGCGTGTTATTCAATTTTAATATCCAAATGTCAGTGAGAACATGAAAAATAAGCTTTTAGATATCAATCTGCATATGCGATGGCCATCGGTTATGCTCCTCTTTAGTAGCTCCTTTGAAGGCATCTTGAGTAAAACCGCTCTAGGCTATATCTAGCGGAGCGCAAAAGACCTGAGCGGGAATCGATGCAACCTGTTTTATGCCCAGTACAATTTTGGGCTGTCCCAGATGAAAGATGGCCAGTGGTGGCGAAACTGTTCGTACAGTGAGAGAGGTTCAAAGATGGCCGTTGATGGAGTCTTGCGACCAAAGATAGCCTGCGTTAATTTTCTGACTGTCATCAGTTTAGCATGATCATCTCTCAGTGCGTTTGCTGCTATGATCTACCTCTTCTGACTGGCCAATGAAAATGCAACATGAAATGCCGTATTGATCAAGCTCCATTTGCAAAATTGCCATGCCAAGGTGGCCTCTTTTCCCAAGCTATGCTACATTCTCTTTTTTCAGCGCACATAAAAACCACAATTGCCAAAATGCGATTAATCTTACTCTGTTTTTACCACTACCTCATGCCGATGATGTTTTATTCTTCTACAGTAAGCCTACAATTCAGTAGGTGTCATCATCATATGGCGCTTTTCCACTGCTGGTACGACTCGGCGCGGAACGGAGCCGTACCGTACCGGACCATGCAGTGGAAAAGCACCACAAGTGAGCCGTACCGAACCGAACCCTACCGTACTATGCAGTGGAAAAGCGCCAATAAAGTCTACATACATGTCGTTGTACCAAAGTCTATTAGATCAGTGTTGTACAGTGTGATTTGTAATGATCTTATAGAATTGCCAAATGCAAAAGTTTGCTTTCCTGTAGCTCAAACAGTAGAACGTTGGCGCTTGCAACGCCAAGGTCATGGGTTCAATTCCCAGGGAAAGCAAGAACTGATAAGAATGTAAATGTGTTCCTTGAAATGCAATATAAGTCGCTTTGGATAAAAGCGTCTGCCAAATGCATAAATGTAAATGTTGCACATAACCCCCATTGGTGTCCGGGATGCCATGACCCTGGACACAATAGTGCACTCAATGAGTTATTAACAGTTTAGCTTAAATGTGTAATATAAATAAACAGTGCTCATGAACAGCTGTTTAGATTTTACTCTAAACTTTTTCTCAATTGGATCCGGAAATGGTATTCCTTCGTGACGACTAGCCTCAATGATCTCTCTGGGAACACCTCTTGTTTAGAGCTTAAAGGAACCGCTTGCTTGAGAATTTGGTTTTGGTTTTACATGAATTATAACTTAGCAGTTTACGTACGGCTTCACGGCACAATCTCTAACCACTCTCTTGTCTTGAATCCAAATTCGTATCTGGTAAGGAGATCCTATGTCCTATCCTATCCTAATAAATTTATTACAATTGCAACCCCTTACAAAAATGTACTGTGTTGGTACCATACTGAATAATTACTATGCTCTATTGAAAAGTACTTTAAAAAATACCATGGTACCATGATACATGGCAGCAATATTGATACATGTGTAGTGGGTTTTCTTCTGCGTTGTGTTTGATTTTTAAAGAAAGAGATCCCACACAATGATGTACTTTTGTTTTTCTTTACTCTCAGCCTTGCTGTGTCTGTGTCAAAAGAAATAACAGACACGATCACACTTAAGCACACATACTTGGCATTGCCGGTCTAGCCGTGCCTCTCGCCACGACATCCCGCGAAAGAGAGCTTAACAATTATAGAAATAAATGAAATAATAAAAGAAAAATAAGAAATATTAAAAAAAAATAACAATAGTAAATGATCCATCTACATACCTGTGTCAAAAGAAATAACAGACACGATCACACTTAAGCACACATCCTTGGCATTTCCGGTCTAGCCGTGCCTGTCAATCAACACACGATATCTCAATGTAAATTCATATACAGAAAATACATTTGAACATTTATAGCACATTTATACACTTTTCTGAGGAGCAGATAAAAACATACCTCTCGCCACGACATCCCGCGAAAGAGAGAGCGCGCTGCGCGCACGCAAATTGCATCAGCATTACCAGAGACTATTTATATAGAGACATGCCACTTCCCCAATCCTTAATACAACTATAGATGTTATTCGATCTGCGTCATCAATGTTTGCGGCGGCCATATTGTTGACATAGAAATCACGGCAACTGTCAGTCTGTCAATTGACAGGCGAGGCAGTGTCGGTATTATCCATGGTATTATCACTGTATTTTTTTTTTTAAACAGCGTGATGGTGTGTTGTGTAATACACGTCTGTTCTAACAACAGCAATAAGAACCCCGGAGTTAGTTTTTATGATTTCGATAAGTTACCGACTGTCAGAAAACGTGAAGGGAAGGAGACAGAGTTGAGCCAGCGCAGGAGAGGCTAGCTAGGATAAATAGGCTAAACTTTCAGCCAACTCACCACAGAAAAGTCTGTTCCCATCCTTTTACCACAGGTTTCACACATAATCCGTGTGCAATGCGTGTGCGGTGCGTTGCGTATACGGTACAGAAGCAGGACGCGCTACAGTGCTTTAGTGCTACATGCTGCGTTTGCAGTGCGTATAGCTAACTGATCCGCGGCTGTAACGTTACCACAAACACCCCGGTACTCACTATTTTTATTTTAACACATACTCACTATTTCAACAACGTAAGCCAATTATTCCATGTATTACTTCTATATATTAAGTTGTTCAAGCAATTGGTCAAATATGTAACCATGTTAAACATTTACATGAACGCACAAACATTTTAAATGAAAACTTAAAATTGACAAACAACCGACTCTCATGCCTTTTCTTTTGCATTTACATTTTAATACAACAAATCTTGCATGTCACAAAGAACTTGTTTTTCCACCTCCACGAATGAGACGAGTGCCGTTCATTATGTTGCCTTGTGTTGAGGTGCATTGTAGTTTGTATACGGATACTGTATGAACGAGATCGTTATAAATATCCGGATAAGTTACGGCTGGCAAAGTGGCAATAAGGACGGATCTTTACTTAAGCTTGATTGGTGTGGACCCACATCAAATAATAGTATTATCTTCTCTTGATACCGACGAGATGAAGCCAGGCTACTGCTCCCCTCAACTCAAATCTGCGCGCGGTTAGGGGCAGCAGGACAGATGTCATGTCAACAATATGGCCGCGGTTAGCTACTTCCGGTGTTTGCGAATAAGGTCTATATAGGGAAAACCCGTAACGGCAAAGATGGCGGTTGTATGCACATGCCCCGCCTCTCCCGCTGGAAAGCCAATCGTCTGCTTTTAACAGTCAAGCCGGAAAACATTTAAGCCTATCGTCTGGTTCCACCGACGCATGCGCACAGTTGAGGTTTGCGACAGCGGAAAATATGTTACTGTTTGAAAAGGCGGCAGATTTGATGTGTTAGTTGTGTAAATATCAGACATCCCAAGTCTCCCGGAAGTTCCGGGAGTCTCCCGCAGATTGATAGCGGCTCCCTGATGACCGCAAATTAGTTCAAATCTCCCGGAATCTAGAGCGAGCGAGCAGTAGCGCGCGCACGACAGAGAGCGAGAGAACCCTAGCGCATGCGCAGTAAAAGTATAACCTGTGGGGAAAAAGGCGTTTTAAACCTTATTTTGGGGCAAAGTCATCACACTTTTTCAGCGATTTTTATCATATTTTATTAGTGTTTGTATACATGCAGTTTTTATGTCCCGGTGACCAGTGAAAGTGCAGTTCTGGGTCTCTGCCCATTCATTTAGATAGGAGCCTGGTCTTGTTAGTCCGAAATAGCTGCCCGGAGGCGTTGCCAAGATGGCGGCCGAGTGGCATGACTTGCCTAAAAGGACTTTGGCATTACCCTCATGCATAATGAAGCTTACGTAATAGTGCTTCCTTAATTTAGTGTAAAAATATTTATCAAGAGTGAAACCAAAAACAATACAAAAAAATAAGAAATATACATGTATGAAGAATTGAAAACAACGCAAATTATTAAGTTTATGATCACATGTGCAGTTTCCAAAACAAATGTTTTCAAAATAAGAGTCCCACAAAATAATACTGTTATTGATTTAATTATGTCAATAATCTAGTGTAACAACATACACTCGTCACACATGCTATATTTTAGGGTAGTAGTGGGTGTAAACTTATAATAAGGCCTACACTTCAGTCTTTTCACATTTGAAGACTCTTAGCACTATTTAATGAAGAAAACTAGTCAGTTCTTGGGGGCTTAGACGGTCCTCACACCCTTACACACATTTCAGAGCTTTTTCTTATTCTAACTTTAGTAGTGACTATATTATCTTTTTATCGACAACTATACTTACCATTCTGAATTTCTAATGCAGTTTTTCACCAGGCCCTCCTCGACCTCGACCCCTCCATCACCTCACGTCTCTGGTCTCATGCTCGACTGACGAGTCACAAGTTTGAGTTTTTCTCTCCGCGGGGCGTTTCTGTTTCTTCCCTCAGAGTCTCACTGCAGATCACACGCGTCCATGTTCGGCTCCATCTCTCACAGCCATGCAGAACCATCACCAGAAGGAACACCTGTATAAAATCCTGGTGATCGGAGATCTGGGTGTGGGGAAAACCAGCATCATCAAGCGCTACGTGCACCAGAACTTCTCACCAAACTACCGGGCGACGATCGGCGTGGATTTCGCGCTCAAAGTCCTGAACCTCGAGCAGGAGACCGTCCGACTGCAGCTCTGGGACATCGCCGGTAACTTTGAATTATGTTTAATTTAATTTTAAATATATAGCCTACTCTTTTTTCTGGGCCAAAGTTTGTATAAAATTAATTTAAATCAAACAATATATTAATATAAATTGTTTTTATTTATATAGTAGGCTAATATGTACTGCCTTGGCCATAGGCTATTTATTAAAAAAAGTTATTATTTTTATTCTTGACTTGTCACAGAAAGCTGTCGAGAACTTATAGGCCTATAATATTTTCTACGTATTATAAACAGACAACTTATTTCTACACACTTAAGGCACTTTATAATTTGTTGGTCTGATATTGCTATATGGGCCAAGTGTATTCAAATATGTTGTAATCAATTACGATTCCGCATTGTTTTATTCAAGTCTCTTTTGAATAACTTTCCTCACGGGCGAGCGCGCGCTCTGCGCGGTCATGTGTTCGCCGCTCATGTGAGGGAGATTTTCAAAAGAAGGCAAACAGGAACGTCTTTGTAAATAGGAGAAATGCACAGGGACACCAGACAGGAGGATTTGTCATTGTGAAATCGTTCTCGATAGAAAGTCAAGTAATTCAAATGCACTTTTCACAACATTGTTTTAAAGCAGCTTTACAGAAAAACATTGGGCTATATTGACGTTTTAATCATACATCTTAAAGTTCCCCTGGCTGTAGTCAATCATTTTATCCCTTAAAACTTATTTGATCACCAAAATTACATATTTGCGTTTTTGCTGTGAAAAAAGGAATGTCACTCTACAGTATATATGGGATGTCGAACTCATTTTAGGTTGAGGGCCGGGTGGGAAAAAATGTAACCATGTGCAGTCAAAATTACCTTCTCAGTCCCCTGTTGTCGATCATTTTATCCCTTAAAACTCATCTTTGATCATCAAAATGACATATAAGAGTTCTTTCCTTAAAATAGCTCGAATGTAACTCTACACCCTTGCCCCATTTAGTAAACGCGGTTCTATGAATATGCAAATGAGCCCCGCCTCCACTCACTTTTGTGCAGGTGTATTCTAGCATAATTATAGGACAATTTCACAAAACAAAAGTCTCACTCTGTTTTTGCTTGTAAAAAAAACAGATTCCGCCATGAAAAATCATATCGGGACACCCCTAATAAAAAAATATTAAATAAAACATTATTTTATAAATTAGTCCCCCTGTGGTGAAAATCAAGGTTTTAATATGTTTTTATATGCCTATGTGGTGCTTTAAAACAAACCATGTGTAAATTCATAAGTCGACAGCATTGCTGAGTATTTTCTCCTTAAAATTGCAGTGAATCAAAGACAGTCTCAAAAACACAATCGCTGGTGTTTCTGACGTCACAAACTACCTTGTAACCAATCAGATCAACGTGTGATCGTCAACGAGTGGATCTCTGAGCTGAGTGAGTGAGTGGAGGCGGGGCTTCAAGCTATTTTAAGGCATGAAGAATTTTTATTCAAGGAAAAAACGTTTAAATATGTCTTTTTGGTGATCAAAGATGAGTTTTAAGGGATACAATTATTGACTACAGGGGACTTCAAAAAATGAACAACAACACGATTTTAGATCTATTTGGGCAATTAAGTGTCATACCTAAGATTAGATATCAAGTGGCATTTATTGTAAAGACAGCATTTTTTTTTCTTCTGTTGTAAATGGCAACTATTTATTTCTCATTAAGGATTGTTTCAGCATCAGTCTCCATTGCAAGACTCGGCTTCCTCAGTTCTGCTTCAGTGTTTCTCAGACTTCACTCCAGTAACTTCAGACACTAATCCTGAGCATTGAGTCGTGGCCCAGATCAGAGCTTTAAGTTCACCGGCGTGAGGCTGGAGCTCAGTGGAGTTGATCAATATGAGCTGCTGGAATGTGCTTTTCCTCATTACTGATATCCAGGCTTTAGCTCGCACCCGTGGAAAATGTGTACAAGAATCCCAAAGTGCGATCACGTGGATCAAGGAGAGAGACTGAAATCCTCTCACATTCACCCAAGGCTTCAACTGATAATAAACATCTCATTGTTGTCTTTGTAGTCATTGAATGTGTGTATATGTTTGTTACAGAAGACTTTGTCTCTCATGTGGTTTTTTTCCGACTCCATCGCTTCCACAGGCCAGGAGCGTTTCGGGAACATGACGCGGGTGTATTATCGAGAGGCCATGGGAGCTTTCATCGTTTTTGACGTCACTCGGCCGTCGACGTTCGAGGCGGTAACGAAATGGAAGGAGGATCTCGACGCCAAGCTGAGTTTATCCAACGGGAAACACGTGGCGGCTGTGTTGCTCGCCAACAAGTGCGATCAGGGCAGAGACGTTCTCACCAACAACGGCATCAAGATGGAGCAGTTCTGCCGGGAGAACGGCTTCGTGGGATGGTTTGAAACTTCAGCCAAGGTATGTAACGAACATCTGAAGACCCTGAGCTTATTTATAGACAGCTGATAATGATATAAACACTCATTTGAGATGATTCAAGATCAATGTCCCAAAGGTTAATTAGGATACTAGAAAAAATATGATCTAGTTTCTATTCTGTTTGTGGTTTAATTGAAAGACTCATTTCTATCACACAGCGGCGCACACTCATTGGGTCAAGAATCTCAGACATTGTTTATTCACCGAAAATTGAAGTTCTGTCGTCATTTACTCATCCTCATGTCATTTCAAACCTGTAGGACTTTCGGACACACGGAGAAGCTTATGAATGTGCAAACTCCTTAAAAGGTTAGTTCACCCAAAAATGAAAATTATGCCATAATTCACTCAGCCTCAAGCCATCTTAGGTGTAAATGACTTTCTTCTTTCAGCCAAACACAATCAGTGTTATATTAAAAGATATCCTGGCTCTTACAACCTTCATAATGGGAGTGAATGAATAGTTGATAAAGTTATAAATATGGATACTTTTCTTACACAAACGCTTCACTTCAGAGGCCCTTTTTTAATCCCCTGGGGTCGTAAGGATAATTTTTATGATGGATGGATGCGCTTTTTGGGCTTCAAAATTTAAGTTACCATTCACTCCCATTATAAAGCTTTTTTATATAACTCTGATTGTGTTTGTCTGAAAGAAGAATGTCATAAACATCTATAGGATGACTTGAGGGTGAGTGAATTATGGGATAATTTTTGGGTGAACTAACCCTGTAAATCAGTGGTTCTCAAACCTGTCCTGGAGGACCATAGATATCCATAATAAAGGCTAGATGTCTTACGGCGGAGTCTCTATCATCATCACCGGCGGCCATCTTGTAACAGGCAAGGCTCTGTGGTGCCTGATGTAAGATGAGTGATCAGCACGAACACAAATACTCTTATCTCGTCGAAATTTACAAACGGTTTGGTTTCTTACAAACGTTACTAACGTGGCTACAATTCTGGATGATTATTTATTTATACACTTATTATTCATAAGTATGCAGTGTCATAACTACATCTCTGACGTTTATAACAAACCAAACCGTTTGAAAATCGGTAGAAAATTTAGCAAGTTATGGTTATTTAAAAAGTACATGCACCATTAAAACACAATGTAACGAGTGAGCGAGCTGCCTGTGACAAGATGGCCGCCAGGTGCGGACGTAGACCTCCATTGGCCAGCAGCGCGGACGAGACATCTAGCCTTTATTATGGATATCTATGTGGAGGACCCCCAACACTGCACGTTTTCTTTGTCTCCCTAATCAAACACACCTGATTCAACTCATCAGCTCATTAACCCAGGTGATAATGAGCTGATGAGTTGAATCAAAGTCCTTTTAGGCAAGTCATGCCACTCGGCCGCCATCTTGGCAATGCCTCCGGGCAGCTATTTCGGACTAACAAGACCAGGCTCCTATCTAAATGAATGGGCAGAGAGTCAGAACTGCACTTTCACTGGTCACCGGGACATAAAAACTGCTTGTATAGAAACAGCAGTAAAATATGATAAAAATCGCTGAAAAAGTTTGATGACTTTGCCCCAAAATAAGGTTTAAAAGGTATTTTTCCCCAAGGTTATGCGTTTACTACGCATGCGCAAGGGTTCTCGTCTCCGCTGTCGCAAACCTCAACTGTGCGCATGCGTCAGTGGAACCGGACGATAGGCTTACATGTTTCCCGGCTTGACTGTTAAAAGCAGACGATTGGCTTTCCAGCGGGAGGGCCGGGCCATGTGCATACAACCGCCATCTTTGGCGTTACGGGTTTTCCCTATATAGTTGTATTGAGGATTGAGGAAGTGGCATGTCTCTGTATAAATTGTCTCTGGTTGAATCAGGTGTGCTTCTGCTAACCATGGCTGCATTTATATGAAAGAAAATACAAATACAGTAAAAACAGTAATATTGTGTTTAATATTATTATGCTACAATTTAAAATAACGCTTCTATTTGAATGTATTGTAAAATGTAATTTATTCCTGTGATCAAAGCTGGATTTTCAGCATCATTACTCCAGTCTTCAGTGTCACATGATCCTTCAGAAATCACTCTTATATGATGATTTGATGCTCAAGAGAGATTTATTATTATTATCAATGTTGAAAACGTTTTTTATGCTTTATATTTGTGTATTTTTCAGGATTCTTTGCCGAACAGAATGTTCAAAAGAGCAGCATTTATTTTAAATAAAAATCTTTTGTAGAATATGAGTCACTTTTGATCAATTGAATGTGTCCTTGCTCAGTAAAAGTATTTAAAAAAGTGAGTGAGGGAGCTGAAACGCTGTTAAATTCTTGCTTTTGTGCTCCATTGATGAAAAGAAGTCTTTGGAAAAGGTCCTGGAAGGACACGAGGATGAGTAAATGGTGACAACTTTAACTGTTGCTTTGCTGTCTGACCTTCTAGGCTGTTTTACGGATGATTATGTGTAGCGAATCGGGTGTGAGAAGTGTGATTGTCCCATCAGAGCTGACAGTCACTCACACACTTTCTGCTGACTCACAGTCCTTCTGCTACAGTGTGTCATGATGCCTCATGAATATTCACCAGCTAATTAATGCAGTCACAGCCAGAGACAAGGTGTGTGAAGACTCTCTCTCTCTCTCTCTCTCTCTCTCTCTCTCTCTATAGGAGAACATTAATATAGATGAGGCGGCACACTGCCTGGTGAAGCACATTATATCTAATGAGAAGGATCTGCTGCAGTCCGAGGTTTCGGAAATCATCTCTCCGCAGCAGGAGCCCATCCGAGGAGGAACATGCTCAGCGTGTTTTAGGTCCTGAAGTCCTGAAATCCAGACCGGACGTCCCAGAGGAACTCTCTTCCCGTTCCCGCCTCATATCGTACTTCTCTTCTCTCATCTCACTCACGTCTCCTCTCGTTTATCCGTGTCAGCAACCCTGCCGCCACCATGTCTCGGTTTCCATGGTAACAGACTTATCGAACACTCTGCAGAGCAGAAACTGTTTCAGGAGAAAGAGGCAGCGGGGAGAATTCACGGGAAGTTCCTGCTGGATGAATCGTCAGGATGCGAAATCCCAAAGACCAGTTTGAGCATTTGAGGTTCCTTCATTTGATTCACATTTTACTGCTTAGCTTTGAATTCATTATTTTCAGTGTCCAACCGAAATCGTCTGAATAGGCAAAACCAGCTAATTAAAAACATAATTTTTTTTTTGCCCACTGAGCATAAAATTTTGCTACTAATGAATTATGAATGCTGGCCTTAGAAATATTCCTGAATATAAATATTTCTGGTGTGCATGCAGTTACACGGATGATTCTAAAATGTTCTTATTTAGAATGTTTGTCATTTGTTTTAAACACTACAGTTCCATCAACCGGCAACATTTGTTCTTTTAATTTATCGAGTGTCACATTCAAATATATTTTGATAGAGAATATGAGATGATGTCATGTAAATACCCCTGTACTTACCCAGTATACAGCAAAACGGTTCAGAGTTAAAGTATTAATAAACAATATCTACTCAAGTGTTTGCGTGTTCCCTCTGCACTTGTATTTCTGTGATTTCAATTTGTTCATGCTCAATGAAATGTAGGGCCCTATGAAATCCGTTTTATTTTTTCCCACATTCTGTTTTCACTTTTTCCAAATTCTGTTTTTCCGTAATTTTTTTCCAAATTTGTTTTATATATATATATATATATATATCTATATATATATATATATTGACTCTATTTTAATTGTTAAATTTTAGTAATCAAAAAAAATCAAAAAGCATTAAACAACAATTTATTCAAAGTTTATCAAAAATGACATGTTTCGGGCCCTATGAAATACATTTTATTCCTTTTTTTCCCTTTTTTTTTACCAAATTCTGTGTTTTCTGTTTGAACTTTTTTAGATTCCATTTTAATGGTTTAATTAAATTGAAATAATCAAAAAGTATGTCTAATTAATTGAATTCATAAAAACAACAATTTATATATATAAAAAAAGAAATCCAGAAATTTGTGTATTTAAATTTTTAAGCCAATGCTGGTTTTACATAAACACTCTGTTTCGTGTGCTGTTCGTGTGTCGGACTTTTTAAATTTCAATTAAATGTACTATATTTTAGTTTGATAATATTTTTTATTTTATTTTATATTACTAAAAACTACAGTAGTTATTGTCCATTTATTTACTTTTTGAGCATGGACCTGAAGCAACTTCAATTTGGTCTCTTCTTAAAGATGACACTTGGCATATATTACTGAAGTGAAAAAAGTTATAAAATTTGACATGTATTGTTATAAAAAATGCACAAAAATACCATTTTCAATTTTTATATAAAAAATATATTTTCCAAAACACGTTTTACTCTCAAACTGCTAGAAAATCAAAGCCATAAATCTAAAGCTGTGTTCCAAATTTGAAGTTGATATTTAAAAAAATTGTGGTTTTGTGTGCAGTACCAAACGCTTCCACTAGATGAAATTCGTCCTCAATTTATTTCCAATGCGCTCATTTTTGACTCTTACCCGTTTCATTTATGTGTAACTGACAAATATGCGTCACATTATGTTTATTATAGTTTATGTTTAAACTGTGTAATCCAAATGGGTGGACATTTTACAATTCAAATACATAAATCTTAAATTTAGGCCTAATATATTTTTTGAGTTTAAGTTGATTATCCAGGGTTAGCATTGCAAAAGCATTGTCACAACCAAAAGTATGTGTTGTGTTTGGGGCAGGATGTTTGCAGACAGAAATATTATAAATTGTGTTGTATGTTGAGAGTGAAACATGCACTATTAATTGATTTTCGTGGCATAATTTGCCATTGAACTGGACTGTCGTATCCACTGAGTTACAGAATCTCAGCGTGTGTGTTCACTCAGGCCATGTGCTCCCGGTCTCGCGGCTCCTAATGAAATAAATTGGTTCCGAGATATTCCAGGCCAATTTAGCTCTGACCTGACACACACACACAGAGGAGGATTCATTTGATATGCAAACTAGAGCATGACCAATAGGTCAGCGAGTAATGAGTAATTTACCCTCTCTCTCTGGTGTTCTGGGTTGATATGATAGACCTACACATGCTGTAGTCATGGATCTTGTGTGGGTTTTATTGCATTTAATTAATCATTATGATTTGGTTATGATTCCGGAAGATCTCTTTCATTTATTTTCTTCTTTCCATCCTTCTCTGAAAACTTTACATACACTTTACATTTGTAGTGTAAACATCACTACTATTTTTTTTCCCATTTGGCTGAATATTAAATGTAGGCCCCTCTCTCTCTCTCTCTCTCTCTCTATATATATATATATATATAGAGAGAGAGAGAGAGAGAGAGAGAAAGAGGCCTACATTAATATTCATGTATTTTAAATGCATATAAAATATCCATCCATTTCGATTACACAATTTTAACACAAACAAATAAACATAATTCGATGCATATTTGTCTGTCAAACTAATGCATTCAGGTCCATTTTGACACGGAAGAGGTATGTACAGTTTTTTTTTTTAACCCATAGTTATTAGCATGAAAATAAAACTTTGGAAATGTGTTCTTTACACACGAAATTACGCTGATTTAAAAAAATAATAAAAAATTTTCACATATATGAAATTTGTCTTAAATTACTTGTGTAAAATACATTTAGTCTCTTTCCACACACACACATTTGTTGGAACAATAACGCACATTATATTTATTAGTTTGTTTATATTAAAACTGTGTGATTCAAACTGAAATTTTATGTGCAATTCAAATACATAAATCTTATGACGGACACGGAAAGTGTGCAAGGGCCTTAAGATGTAACTCAAATATCCAAATATTCGCATTTCAAGGTGACTAAACTTACAATTATAATGTAGTATAAACATTTTTTTTAAGTTGAAACAAAAAGGGTCTAGCTAAATTTATTACCTCCGAATTCATTCAGCTTTTTGCATATTTTCAGCACACTATAGTTTGGGATGCATTAATCCTAATCTTGCCCACTAGTTAGGATGTAGGTGTCACGGGTGAAGAGGCAAAAAGCTCCAAAACAAACTTTTACTATAAATATAACTCTAACGGGTACAGACGGGCATGATGAACACACACTAAATAACACTGAGAACGGCCAAAGACTGGCTGAACTGAGGCCTTGTCCACACGGACACGGGTATTTAAAAAAAAGAAACCCGTCCACACATGCTCGGTCTCAGTCTACATGAAAACGCAAAAACACGCTATCAAGAGCGACCAAGAGCATGCCACGCCAGCAGGCGGCGATATAACCCTTAACCGTAAAGCCACGTTGGCCAATCAGAAGCGCAAATCTGACGTCAAACACAGCGGCTAACGGCGCACACTCTGACGTCGCAAGGCAAAAACCCCGGTATCACTGTCTACACGACAACACTGTAACCGGCGTTTCTGAAAATCCTCACCCTGGCTGGGGTTTTCAAAAATGTTCGGTTTCAGTGCGTTTCCGTGTGGACGAATGGCCGAAACGCGTAAAAAAAGTCACGGTTATAAAAAATACCCGTGTCCGTGTGGACAGGGCCTGAAAGGGACTAAATACAACCACTGATTGACACAGATTAACAGAAACCAGGTGCCACAGATGATAATTAACTAGACACAGGTGGGACAATGAACTAAATGACAGTAACCATAGAAACAGATGAGTGGCGGGAAAACAGAACAAAGGAAGACGTCACTAGGGTGACTGTGACAGTAGTAGCCTTTATGAATTGGCGTTCAGCTCAGGTCTCAGTGTTTGCCTCATTTTCCATTTCTCAGCTTGTATCTTGTTACCACTTTGAATTTCTGAGAATTGAAAAGAGTAGATTCATTTTCGGTCTCAATTACTGTGAGATGTTTTAGTCCATCGTTCATATTACAACCCCTTCCCTCATCAACTCTCTCTCTCTCTCGCTGGGATGCTTTAAATGAGGAGGTGAATTGAATTCTGGGTATGGTTGACATCATCCCAGACCTGTTCATTTGACAGGCTGTCACAATCCAAAGGAGAATAAGGTCTTTCTGTCATAAAGGAACAATCTTTACTCTTTTCCTTTAAACGGTTTGCCCTCTTTTTATTGGCCTTTTCTTTTCTGTAATTAACTGAAAATTTTCAGCGTTCAAAAAACTTGAAGCATCAACTGCAGAGGCATAAGAAAATACTGGCTACTTTTTAGGGAATGCATGTCTGTGCACATTATAGCCTACATACTGCAGAATATTACTATGTTTGCAGTGTATACTGCGCACAGACATGCATGTGAGCAAGCAAAAGTATATCTACACTGCAACAAGCACTGTCTCCCACAATGCAATATGGCTACACTATTGACAATAGACATTTTTGCCTGCAAAATTTCGTTAATGTGATCAAAGGAACAGACGTAGTGTTTCAAACATTTCTGATCGTGTGGATTTCGAATTCGCCAGATGCCTGATAAATGTTTCCAATCCTGTCGAGACCCACGTCATCTGTGATTAATGGATAGAAAGAGAGTGTGAGGAGATCAAATGACCAAATCCGGAGTAGGCTATTAGATCTTTAATGAGCATGGAAGGAATAAAGATGACCTGTAAATACACCATTTGGAGAAAGAAAAAGAGCCGCTTTAGAAGCAGGACAATGACTTATAGCAGATCAAATCAAAATTGACATAGCTTGACATTTAATTAAAACAAAACGCGTGTGTGCGCATGAAAAAGAGAGAGGAACAACTGAAAAATGATAATGTATTTATACAGCTGCGGTTATAAATGTTTTCACTCATTAAATCATTCACAACGAAAGAGATATACAATTGTGAGATGCAGCATTTAAAGAGCATTTGTTGAAATGCATACAAACGCATGCATGTCATGATGTTCCCCGTGCAGATGTGTGTGTGATTGTTTTGGAGACACACACAGATGCACCTGTAGACTGCAGGTCATCACTCTTCTGGAGTTTAAGCATCTCTGACAGCTGCAGTAATGAGAAAAGCCTGCACCTGTGTGAGTGTGACATCTGTGAGTAATGACACGCATACAGGACTTCAGGTTATATGAAAGACCCCCTGCAGGACAGGAGTCTAACGAAGCTCACATTTTACCCAAACAACTAGTGACAGTTACATAATACATCAACCATGAGCAAGCAAATGTCTGTCAGACACACACAACAACACACACACGTGTTGGTATGTGATTGAGATCAATAGTGGACAAAGTCATAAATGCTGCAGGAGAAATCTGACAAGACTGAACAAGACATCACATTCTTCATAAAAAATAGGGTTCCTTATTGGCATCCGTGGAACCTTTCCATTGCAAGGTTCTTCAGATTATTGAATATATATATTCACAGATGAGCCAAAACAACCCTGACCCGCCGGGGCACACCTGAAGGTGTCCTGTGGTTTCTGACTCCAAGACAGATCCTTCAAGTCCGGTTGAGAAATGGAGCCACTGTGGATTGAACTTGTTGGTCCAGCAAATCCCATAGATGCTCAGTTGGATTGAGATCTGGTGAATTTGGA